AAATTTGCCGCCATTTATTGTTTTTCTTCGCATAATCCTATAGACATTCTTCTAGATAGTTTCTGTTCCCTACACCCCAACACCAAAATCTTTGGGAGAGATTCATTTACGGTTTTGTAAGTTCCTGGAAATCTCCTCTTGCAATCAGGAATTCCTACAGAATTTAAGTGCTTAAACTATTTGTCAGGTTTTTTAAAGATTCAGAAGAACATGTCTTCTAAATAGTGACTGATGATCAGTTTAATTTTGATGACAGCATAACTTGTTCAATCAGTCAGTGAGAAAGCTGGGGTGTGCACACAAGTGTTTCCCAGATAAAATCTGAGGAGCTTCTAAAGAACAAGCTGCATGGCCTATTTAAACCTGTTTTTTCTGTTGTGTCAGGTAAAAAGGACATAGTCCAGGCTGCCCAATGAATGGGTTTCCAGAATTGGAAGCATCAGAATACGCTCACCTATGGCAAGAGTCATAAAGAGGATGGCAAGCAGAGCCTTAAGACAAGCAGAGCCTTAAGCATTTCAGATTTTACGGTTGTTAAGGCCTTAATTTCTGCCTGCAAAGCAAGTGGCAAGCCATGTAGTTCTTTAAAGATGGGTATCATATGATACCAATGTATTGGTGATGATTAGATCAACATTGCAGGTTGGTTGGACGTATATACATTATCTGTGGTCCACAAAATCCTGCCAGGGGATTTTGACAGATGGGCTTACAGAATCACCTGAAATCACCTCCATTGTCTTTGCCATAAGCTTAGTCCATTTTGGGCACTTTCATAAACTTTTGGGAGGCCGAGTTTTTTTTACCAAGAGTTATCAATGTACTTGGGACAAGTGATGAAATCCCGTGAAGACCCTGTTGCAATGAAATCTGAACTCTTGCAAAATGTTAGAAATTCAGCAGTACAGATGCATCCTTTCAAACCCATGTTGAAAAATCAGGAAGCGAAATACAAAAAAGGATCTGATGCTCTTTTCATTACAGATGAAAAATTAGGAGGGGTTGGTCCTGTCCTTAGCTGGAATGAGGAAGTGGCTTCAGACTGTAGATGCTGGAAGCAAGGATAGTGGGAGGTAATGGGAAACAGCTAGGTGTGCTTCCCTTGCTCATTCTCAAAAGTAGTATATTGCCCTCTTCAGGTGAATTCTGGAATAAGCACCAATCTCATATAGAACATAGAACAGGGGTGTCAAACTGGCGGCCCACAGGCCAGATGCGTCACATGCAGGCCACTCCCACCTCAGCTCCACGAAGAGAAAAAACATCACAAAGCATCCCATGACAGCAACATGACATGGTGAGCTTGACACCCATGACATAGAACACAGAATAACAAGAGTTGGAAGGGACCTGGGAGGTCTTCCAGTCCAACTCTCTGCTCTAGCAGGAGACCCTATACCATTTCAGACTGGTGGCTGTCCAGTCTTTTCTTTAAAGCCTCCAGCGATGGGGCATCCACAACTTCTGAAGGCATCATCAGCTTCATCAGCCTCTGCAAATGGAATGAGACAGAGGATACTATCCTTCAACTTGCAACCATTTGTTTAGCAATTGTCAGAAGTTACAGTGCATTGAAAAAAGTGACTTATGACCAGTCCTCACACTTGCAATGGTCAGAGTACCCCACGGTCACATGATCAAAATTTGGGCACTAGACAGCCAGCATGTATTTACAAAACCTGCAGCATCCCAGCGTCATTACGATCACTGATAGCAATGTCCAGCCTCCAACAAGCAACATCAATGGGGAAAGCTGGACTGACTTAAAAACTGCATGATTTGTTTAACAACTATCACAAAAAAGTCATGAAATTGGGAATGACTCACTCAACAACTGTCTTACTTAGCAACAGAAATTCTGCTCCCAGTTTGCTATGTGCTGGTAGCAAACACATGGTAAGTTGGGGGCTCAGCTGAGAGTTTCTGCTACAGGTGCATAAAATCTAAATTTTGATTAAATCTGAATTTTAACAGAAACATCCATTTGTTGAATTTAATATGCTTAGTGAGATAAAGGAAAACACACATCCTTTTGATATTCTTCAGCAACACATTTAAAGTTTAAAGTTTCAGGAATAAACATGAGATATCATATACTCCATCCATTTTTTACATTATGAGATAATTCATTGGACTCATAACTGAAGCTATATGTAAAAAGAATAATAATATTTTACTATAACTGCTTAAGGCAATCAAAACTACATCCACATATTTATACATTGCCAAAGCCATTCCTAATATGGCATCTCCAGAGGTCTTGGGATTGAAGCATTGAAAAATTTCAAATCAGGTTGGAAGATTTTTGGGGGAGACCTTTTCCTGGGAGAAAATGATATTGAAGAAGTTTTCTAAAAGATCATCTTCCCAGAACAGAGCATCTACTGAGAAAGGGGAGAAAGGGAGGGGGGTCATAATGTCACAATCGTGGCTGCAAGCATGTGATTGAAGCCCATCCCTTTTCTCACTCCATTTCCCACCCCCATGGATGTTTGCATCTTGAAACCATCAAATAAGGAGAGGCAAGCAACGGAAGTTTCATAGTTGAGTAACAGCATTTGTTTTTTTCCAGGAGATGCTGCAAATGGGCAAAACAGGTTTAATAGGAAAGCAGGAAGAACTGGAAAGGGCCACAGGAGCATTTTTAAGATCTGCCAAGTACAAAGAATATAATCCTTGACCTTTGGTTGCGGGGATGGGGAGAAGAGGAGGATGGAGAGAGCAACACAACTGTCAGGTTCTTGAGTAGTGGAATTTGGTACTTGATATTTGGTACTTCTGGCAGTAAGGAAACCTAACCAATCATGTGAAAAAATAACAAATAAAAAGATATCTTGTCTCCATTAATCGAAGTATATAAATAAAAAATAGTTAGCCTTCAACATTTATGCTTTTCTCAATTTTACAATATAATTCACTTACATTAAATATGTTTTAAATATATTTATAAGTACACATTTATATTAAATATATAAGAATACACAAAATACATAAAATACATTTATGAAAAATAATATGTTATATCAAGGCAATTTGTTTGCAAATTCTATCTTCATTCTTTTCTTGGAAAAAGAAAAGCAGATAAAATTTTGTACTATTTTTTAAAAAGACATTTTCTAACTAGCATGGGAATGGCAGAAACTGAACTTTTAAAGGGAAAATAAAATAATCTGAAATTATGGAGGAAGGAAATAAAATACTTTTGACCAAGTGGCCGATACCTAATCTTTGTAATGTGTTTAATCTGGTGCTTTACTCTTCATGTAAATATCCATCCTCTGTGTTAGTTAGAGACTAGAAATCCAATCTTCAGTCTCCAATCTTATTGACTGATAAATTGATTGTGACATTAAGTCAGTATTACTTCTTAGCAACAACATAGATTTTTGGCAAGTATAGTATTGTAATGCAATATTATTTCTATAGATCAATCATGTAAATGAATCATATTAAATTTTAAATTGTCCTTGAATTCTTCAGAGTAATACTTTGGCCCTACTTTTAGGTGCTAGAAGTTTATCACATTCAAATGGAACAGATTTAGAAATGATTTCTTCTTTTGAGAAAGAGGCAGTGGTGGTATTCAGCAGGTTTTGATCAGTTCTGGAGAACCAGTAGCAGAAATTTTGAATAGTTCAGAGAACCAGGAAATACCACCTCTGACTGGAGATTTTACAGTATCCTTCCCTTGCCATGCCTACCAAGCCACGCCCACAGAACCAGTAGTAAAAAAAAATGAATCCCACCACTGGAAAGAGGGTATATTTTTATCATAATTCCAACTATTATCTCTAATATCAAATACTGGAGAAAAAACTATTATTAATATGAAAAAGATTTGAGACTTTATCTACTGTAACAATACTTGCTACTAGGGACCATTACTTAGGAAAACATGGGGTGAGTTCCCATTCTTGCCCCAGCTCCTGCCAAGCTAGCAGTTCGAAAGCATTCAAATGAGAGTAGATAAATAGGTACCACTTTGGTGAGAAGGTAACAGCGCTCCATGATGTCATATTGGCCACATGGCGGCAGACACTGCTGGCTCAATCACCTTGAAACAAAAATGAGCAGTGCCCCCTATAGCTGGCAACAAATAGCAGAGTAAAATCCGCAGGGGCTTCTTTACCTTTACCTTCATTTAATTTGCGGGAGGAACTACCAAATTTGGCATCCAATCCATGAGACACATGGGTAACTGTCTTCAAATGCTTCCACTAGAGAAGAAAGCAAGTTTATAGTTCATGGTTCTTGGAAGCTCCGTGGAATTTGTGCTACCCTCTACCCTCACAATCTCAGATCAACATATACCAGTTTGGTTCCGTAGCACAGCTACTGGGAAGCAGCTATTTTATTACTGTTTATACCACTGCAGTGCTTCTGTATTTCTTTCTAGGTGGATTGTCCCGCCCCCATCCATTTACAAGACACGGCCTAGCCAATTTCACAACATCACCCCTTGCTTGCTGTAGCCTTCTCTGTTCTCCCATCCCCACAAAACAAGAAAAGAAAAATACTTGTCCATCCTGTAACATATTGTTTGTTCCTTGAATAAACTGTAATAATCAGCAGTGGGTATATGTTTGCAATCTTCAGAGAGGATTTTACTCTTTTTGCCACCACCACGTAAACATTACCTCTGAAATAACCACATTAGTATTTAAATAGCATTGCAAGCTTTGCACATGCTCTGTCTGAATATTGTGGATTCTCATTCATCCACAGAGATTGCAGTTTAAGTACAGCGTTTTGAGAGCTGATGCTGTACTACCAGCAGATCCCTTCCTAAGTAAAGGAGTAAAAATGCTTGATTCCCGCCCCCCATGAAACTATAATGCCTTAATCTATTTGCAAGGGTTGTTTTCCATTGGATCTATTCACAGTCTTTTTTTTTTAAGAAGGCAGATTTAAATCAAAGGAGACAGGTGACAGCAATTGCTAGACGTGCATTGTTTACTAACCAAATAGAGGCTGTTGCTGTAGGGATTTCAGAATCAGTCATGGATTTTAGCACTTCATCGGTGTTCGATCATCAGAAAGGTAAGATAGTTGTTTTTTCATACTAGGATTCATTCATGAATATATGTCTCCTATCCTAGTTGTATTTCATGAGCACAGTACAAAAAGCTCTATGTGGTATAAGGAAATCTTAGGTTACATGAATTTCAAGTTAAATTGTACAATTTGGTTTTCTGGACTTGTTGATTTTTAAAGCAGTTTTTTTTCTGCAGTCTGTTTTGAAATCAGCTATTTACATCTGCTGCCTAAATTAATTGAAACAGGTGTATTGTTGGAGTGGGGGAGGAAACTTGGCTGTGCCTGCCATTTGTTCTTATCTTTGATTTATGATTTTCTGTGCCATTCAGAACCAGCCTCCTATGTTTTGTCATTAGTAATCAATTGTGTTTTCTGTTAGTAATAAATTATTGTGAAACTACAAAATGAAAGTAGTAGAAAATTTGTGGCTGGTGTCATTATTTTCTTTGAAGAATTAATTAAATTGGCTCTATGAGTATGTTTGTGTTAAAATACATAATTAAGTTTACTGAGCCTTAAAATAAGCATCCTTTTTTCTGGAACAATTAAGATGGATGTAGTAATGATCTCTTGGGAATGGGAGGTGATAATTTTGTTTCAGTTTTCTGTTTAAGATCTTTATACTACATGCTCGATTCTATTTCTTATCTAACTTTTCATATAATTAATCAAAGGATTGGATTTCTACTGTGAAATAACATTACAGACTAATATTGCCTTAACTAGCTTTATACTTCCCCCTTCCTCCTGTCATTTCAACGTATATATATATTTTGTATTTGTTATCTATATTGTTGTTTTTGGTGCTACTTCTTGTAGACTCTATTAATTTAGTTGTTAATATGAGCATCAAGGATCCTTCCAAGGCTTCTCCATTTAATTCCGTCCAAAGGGCAATTTCATGGAAGGTTTTGGATTTATCATGATATGGCTTAAGAGTGAAGAGCAAGTGTGCATATGAATCACTGAATCAGACCAAGGTAATTACATAGACTACAACCTTTGCCATCTAGGACTCTGTCTCCAGATACAGACAGTCACATACTAAAAGGGAATTGACAAACATGGTGAGGATTTGTCTACTTCCAGTTTCAGAAAGCTGAGAGTCCCCATTCTCTGCAAAGTAGACCATATGCAGAGTGTGTATCCAATACTTTCACTGAGTAATCAAAAGCAACTGCTACACTATTGAAATGTGGAAAAAACGTGGATTCTTGGGGCAATCTGACATCATTTTATAAATTTCCTCCAACTATTCAACAAAAACTTCATATAACAGAATTGGACACATTGATTAATATCTGTAAATGTTATTGTTGTTGTTTTTAAGCATAAATCTTCTCTCTTGGGTATTCAAAGAGAAAGGCAAATTACAGAACCCAATCTTTTTTATGGTCCATTGTCCTGCAGTTCATCACCGACTTTAATATTTTCTTCATTGCATTGTTTTATGCTAGTGCTTTTTTCATGATTCACCAGTACTTACATATTATATATAATAAAGTTAGTTTGTATAAAATAAAAATATGTGATAGCCATGCAGTTTGCATGCATTTTATTGCATCAAATATCATTCCTACTTTGTTTTATTATTTGTTTTGTCTATGGCTCACTTCCTGGCTTATATCTATCCAAGAAACATACAGTTTGAAATATAAGCATTTATATTACTCAAGCGACATATTTTTTTTTTTTTTTAATAAAGTTTTATTTGGGTTTTCACACATACAAAATACAAGTAAAACATCTTTTTTGAAAATAGCATGGTCCTGGGTTGAACTTCTTTATACAGACACAAAGCTCAATTTCATGCTCCTTTTTGTGTTCTATCCCATGTCTTATACTATTCTACATTTTCTATATAGTTTTTCCCCTCTTTTAATTTTCTCAAATTTTATTTTGATTATCTCATCTCAATTCAAATCATTATATTTATACTTTTGTCTGTTCTGTTCCAATTTCATATTATCTTTTCTCATTAAACAAATTTTCTCCTGTAGTTACTAATTGGAGTATGACACCTTTATATCTTTTAATTACATCCATTCAACTCTTATTTAAACTTCAATATATACCTTAAGGTTATGACCTTCAATATAAAACATAATACATAACTTCCAATCAAATTCTGCTTGGTACAGTCTTATAATACACACTATATTCTTTTTCAAAAACAGATTATAAATATATGTAATTATAAACCCTCATTCCATTCCAATTCAGTTCTATCATTAATAATCATTAAAATCTTAACATCTTTAACACTTCTTTTCAATTAAATATCATACTTCCTTAAAGACACATGTAATCTCCATAATTAATTTTTCCCTTATTTCTCTTCACATATGTTTTATAAATCATTAAATATACCTTTTGTTACATTTATTTATTGACAAGCATTCCACTGAATTACGATAGCTATTTTATCAGACATTTTAATCATACATTGTTTCATATTTTCTAAAGTTATTTCTATTTCTAATATAACAATACTATCTTATGTACCTTTGCAGAATCCCTTTTTCCATTAAGTTTT